GTCTTTTGTTGATGGGAGCTATTTTTTTTCCCGGGGGCAAAGGGGATCTATTTTTACTTTTTTCTTGTTACCAGTAAACAATAAGACGGTGCTTGGAGGTGGGTAGGGGGGGAGAAAAGAGTGGGGTTTTAAAGGAAGTGGGGGGGGGGGGGTCCCTTTCACCTATTTTCCTGAAAAAAAAACCCTGACCATACCAGCCAGGCAGGCTTCTCCTTCAGTCATTAGTGATATTATCGGTCACACGGGCTGCGATTTTTTTGAAATCATGCGATGTTTGTGTGCGATTTCTCGAAGACCTTTATTGCGACTACTGTGGAAGATGTTCAGCGATTTCTTTGCCATTTGCAGTGCGATTTCCATTCTATTCTATGTAGGTGAAATCGCAACAAAACTGCAAAGAAAAAGCCCAATTCAAGAACTACTTTAGAAATCTGCAACCGCAAGCAAATCGCAAATTGTTAAGACACCGCACATTCACATTCATTAGATGCGATTTCAATTCCCAAATCGCACCTGAAATCGCATCACGGTGTGACCAGGCACTATTGCTACTTTTGAAGATGTTCAACGATTTCTTGCCGTTTTGCAGTGCGATTTCCATTCTATTCTATGAAATCGCAACAAAACTGCAGAAAAAGTCATGTGTATAAACTACTTTGGAAATCACGCTGCAGCAAATCGCACACGTTTAAGCCCCCGGTCACATCAAGCCTGACTTTGAAATCGTGCAACTTATAGTGAAGTCGTGTGATTTCAAAGTCGGGTGAACCGCCGATTTCTGGTGTGACTTGCAAGACATCGGACACAGATGTCTATACAAATCGCACCAACAGTAGTGCAATGTATACTATAGAAATCGGTGCGGCTCTGACCAAGTCGGAATTGCACGGATATGACCGCTCCAATTGGGACAATAGGGTGCGACTTGGCATATGATTTTCAAGTCGCATGTCATACTAAATTGCACCCCGATGTGACCGGGTGTAAGACACCGACCTTCACATTCTATTAGGTGAGATTTCAGGTGCGATTTAAATTCCCAAATCGGCGGTGTGACCGGGCACTAAGGCTCCATTCACAACCCGGGCATTTTGATTAATGGGCAGAATTGCCTCGATTCTTCCTGCGATTTCAAAACGCTCGGCCCAAATGTTAAAATCGCCACAACTCAAATATTTCAGATGCCATTCATTTTAATGGCACCCAAAATCGGTTTGCGGACCTGCCGTGATTGTCATGCGATAAATGTGCTGCAATTGTGGCAAACCGCATCAACATGAAGCCTGTTGTCCAAAAAGGAGCCGGAGCTTCTATTGGGGAGACAGGCCTCGTGTGATGTGGCTTGCCATAATTTACCGTGCGACGATCGCAGCAGGACCGCACTGCGATTTTAGGTGCCATTAAAATGAACGGTGTGCGGTTTGTCCTTCCTAGCAGAGTGTTTTTTATTAAATCGCAGGGCGTCACGGCGATTCTCATCAGCGATTCAAAACTTGCCCGGCTGTGAATGGAGCCCCAGCAGGAATGGAGCCCCTGGCCCGACCAATACTTGGGGCAATATAGTGTATGGTATAACCTGTAGTAGGGAGACACCTAGTGGAGGTTTGAGATGCTGCACTTTTTAATGGAAATTAAAGGAAATTTGAAATGGTTTCGGGCCAATTGTCAATCTCACATTTGTTTTTTATATTATACATATTAAACTGTTTTATGTTTTCATTCCCCATCAATATAAAATATTTGTTTTAGAAATTTTAACATGAAAAATTGGATCATGCTTTGCTGGTTTTTTTTTACCTTCCTCCGGATCAACTGTGGGTGTAGGATTATCACTTTTTTTTTTTTTTTTAATGGTTGAACTGGATGGACTTTTGTCTTTTTTCAGCCAGACTAACTATGTAATTACTATGTAATCTGTGAACACGCTGTGTAGTGTATCCATCCTGATTCCTGGGTGTTGTTGCAAGCGTGCTGCATAAATCCTGCAAAAATCGAACCCCCCCCCACCATCACCACCATTGCAAAGAGGCTGCCATACCTGTGGCAAGCCATTCCATAGAAGGCAGAGCACAAATATAAACTGCTGAATTGTCCCTTGCACACCGTACAGGAAAACCACATATATCATTGTAAGGGGCGCCATATTTCACAGTGGCATAGTGGTTAGCACTTTCTGCCCTGCAGCGTTGGGGTCCTTGGTTCACATTTCCAGCATGGAGTTTGCCTGGTCTCCTGGTGATTGCATGAGTTTCTCCCCACACCCACGCCATGCTGGGCGGTTTAATTGGCATGTGTATGTATGTGAGATAGGAGGATCGTAGGGGGAGCGGGGCTGAAAAGATGTTATATGAAAGCTCTGTGGACACTTTCATTAATTGCAGGTGACGGAGGACTATATATATAATATATCTCAGCCATGTACCGTTTAGAAAAACAAAGCAATTTGGTCACACAATTCCGTAGTTCCCAACCTCTGGGCTGTGTCCCACTGCCATGCCACGGCCTCCCCTCTCCCGGGCCTCCAGCCAGCTGTACATCCTCATGTCTCCCAGCACCCATTGCTACCCACAACCTTCTATTGAGGCACACAGTGCCCCCCCCCAAGAGCCCACAGTTTCCACAGTGCCCCAAGCCTGCTATAGAGCCCCCAGCCCTCCATTGTGCCCCAAATCTCTGCTGTAGGACCAGGTGACCCACATTGCACCTCAACCTCCCCCAGAAGCCTCATCCACTATAGGGCCATCAGGTCTGCTGCAGAATCCCCTAACCATGCCACTGGGTTTGACCATTCTTCCAGAAGCACATTTGTCAGGTCAGGCACTGATGTCGGGGGAGGAGGCCTGGCTCGCAGTCTCCACTGTAATTCATCCCAAAGGTGTTCTATGGGTTGAGGTCAGGACTCTGTGCAGGCCAGTCAAGTTCCTCCATCCCAAACTGGCTCCTCCATGTCTTTATGGACCTTGCTTTGTGCACTGGTGCGCAGTCATGTTGGAACAGGAAGGGGCCATCCCCAAACTCTTCCCACAAAGTTGGGAGCATGAAAATGTCCAAAATGTCACCTTAAGGGTTCCCTCACTGGAATTAGGGGGCCAAGAAACCAATCCCTGAGGAACAAACCCACACCATAATTCCCCTCCACCAAACTTTACTTTTTTCTGCAGCGTCTCCATTGATGTCTATAGAACCAAAAATGCAGCATTTTGAGTTTAAAAAAAGTCCTGAACCTTTTAAAAAAAATGCTTCGGGTGAAAATGCAGAGATGTGAACGTGCCCCATAGGAAATCATGTTCAATGGACTACTGTGTGTCTCTGCAAAGTGCAACGGAAAATGCACAGGTTTGAAAGTGTTACCAAACCCTGGACCCTGCATTCAATATAGCCGCTCTCCCTGGACCCTGCATTCACCATATCCGCTCTCCCCGGACCCTACGTTCACTATGTCCGCTCTCCCCAGACACTGCATTCACTATATTCGCTCTTCCGGGATCCAGTGGTTGGGATTTGAACCAGTGATCCTAGTACTGCCAGGTGGAAATGCTAACCATTCACTATATCTGCTCTCCCCAGACCCCGCATTCACTATATCTGCTCTCCCCGGACCCTGCATTCACTAAATCTGCTCGCCCCCGGACCCTGCGTTCACTATATCTGCTCTTTCCGGACCCTGCATTCACTATATCCACATTCCCCCACACCCTGCGTTCACTATATCCACTCTCTCTGGACCCTGCATTCAATATATCTGCTCTCCCGGACCCTGCATTAACTATATCTGCTCTCCCCGGAACCTGCATTCACTATATCTGCTCTCCCCAGAACCTGCATTCACTATATCTGCTCTCCCCAGAACCTGCATTCACTATATCTGCTCTCCCCAAAACCTGCATTCACTATATCCGCTCTCCCGGACCCTGTATTCATTATATTCGCTCTCCCCGGACCCTGCATTCACTATATCCGCTCTCCCCGGACCCTGCATTCACTATATCCGCTCTCACTGGACCCCACATTCACTATATTCGCTCTTCTCGGACCCAGTGGTTGGGATTTGAACCAGTGACCCTAGTACTGCCAGGTGGAAATGCTAACCATTCACTATATCTGGTCTCCCCGGACCCTGCATTCACTATATCTGGTCTCCCTGGAACCTGCATTCACTATATCCGCTCTCCCCGGACCCCGCATTCACTATATCTGGTCTCCCCGGACCCTGCATTCACTATATCCGCTCTCCCTGGACCCTGCATTCACTATATCCGCTCTTTCTCCCCAGACCTTGCATTCACTATATTAAACTCCATGGACTCAGCATTCACTATATCCAGTCTCCTCGTACCCCGCATTCACTATATCTGGTCTCCCTGGAGCCTGTATTTACTATATCCGCTCTCCCAAGACCCTGCATTCACTATATCTGCTCTCCCAAGACCCTGTATTCACTATATCTGCACTTCCTGGACCCTGCATTCGCTATATCTGGTCTACCGGGACCCTGCATTCACTATATCCGCTCTCCCCAAACCCTGCATTCACTGTATCCGATCTCCCCGGACCCTGCATTCACTATATCTGGTCTCTCCGGACCCTGCATTCACTATATCTAGTCTCCCCGGACCCTGCATTCACTATATCTGGTCTAAACAGACCCTGCATTCACTATATCCGCTATTCCCGTCCCCGGCATTCATTATATCTGCTCTCCCTGGACCCTGCATTCACTATATCTGGTCTAAACAGACCCTGCATTCACTATATCCGCTATTCCCGTCCCCGGCATTCACTATATCTGCTCTCCCTGGATCCTGCATTCACTATAAGTGGTCTCCTTGGACCCTGCATTCACTATAACTGGTCTTCCAGGACCCTGCATTCAATATAACTGGTCTCCCCAGACCCTGCATTAACTATATATCCGCTCTCCCCAGACCCTGCATTCACTATATCTGGTCTCCCTCAGCCCCTGCATTCACTATATCCGCTCTCCCCGGACCCTGCATTCACTATATCCGGTCTCCCCGGACCCTGCATTTCACTATATCCGCTCTCCCGGACCCTGCATTCACTATATCCGCTCTCCCCAGACCCTGCATTCACTATATCTACACTCCCTGGACTCTGCATTCACTATATCTGATCTCCTCAGGCCCTGCATTCACTATATCTGCTCTCTGTGGACCCTGCATTCACTATATCTGGTCTCCCCGGACCCTGCATTCACTATATCTGGTCTCCCCGGACCCTGCATTCACTATATCCGGTCTCCCCGGACCCTGCAATCACTATATCCGCTCTTCCCGTCCTCTACATTCAATATATCTGCTCTCCCTGGACTCTGCAATCACTATAATTGGTCTTCCAGGACCCTGCGTTCACTATATATGATCTCCCCAGACCCTGCATTCACTATATCTGGTCTCCCCGTACCCTGCATTCACTATATCTGCTATCCCTAGACGCTGCATTCACTATCATATTATTAAAAAATGTGCTATATGAAAAAATTGCACAATTTCTATATTAAAAAGCAAAGTGAAAAAATAAATAATAAAATAAAAATTATTGAAAAAAGAATTAAGTAAATAAATCTATATATTATATATATATATGAAAACAAGGACCACAAAAAGTATTTTTTAAGTACGAATCAAGAAAAAGTCATTCAACAACTCAAGTTCAATCAATAAAGTGTTCTTCTGTGAACCCAACCTTTTGGATAACGAAAAATATGTGCATCTGTCATCAATTCCCGTACAAAGACATCCTCCACCATATATCTGCTCACCTCACGCAGTGTGACCGCACATTATACAATGTTACCCTCTAACTGCACTTTTGGTCCCATTTGGACTCAAACATAAGCTTGCTGAATGAGGAATCCAAAGTAATCTCCCTCCTGATAAGCGTCTTTGTATCAGCCGTATTCCTCATTACAAAGAACTCCACATAGTGCTTTATCCTTTTACACTTTTATTCATCAATTAAACATAAGAAATGCACTCACGTTCCGGAGGTGTATATTGCACCAGGTATGATGAACATCCAGTGATGTACTGATTAGGACACTAGATGGCAGTATCATCTCAGCAGCAGAGTCCTGTACATGCTCAAACCAGACCCCATCCGTAATGTAATGCCAGGCAAAGCACGGGGCCACTTAATGAATGCTATTGCCTGCTGTAATGTCGTTCCAAGAGCCGCTTACAGAGTACTATAACCGCTGTCCCAATGAATGGTAACATTGTGACGTCATCCGCACACTCCTCCCCGGACCCTGCATTCACTATATACGCTCTCCCCGTATCCTGCATTCACTATATCCGCTCTCCCTGAACCCTGCATAAACTATATCTGGTCTCCCAGGACCCTGCATTTACTATATACGCTTTCCCCAGACCCTGCATTGACAATATCCGCTCTCTCCCCGGACCCTGCATTCACTATATCTGGTCTCCCCGGACCCTGCATTCACTATATAACGCTGTCCCTGAACCCTGAATTCAATACATCCACTCTCCACGGACTCTGCATTCACTATATCTGCTCTCCCTGGACCCTGCATTCACTATATCCGCTCTCCAAGGACCCTTCATTCACTATATCTTGGTATCCCCGGACCCTGCATTCACTATAGTCATTCTGCCAGAAACCTTCCTTCATTATATTCGCTCTCCCAGAACCCTGCATTCACTATATCTGCTCTCCCCGGACCCTGCATTCACAATATCCGCTCTCCCCAGACCCTGCATTCATTATATCCGTTCTCCCAGGACCCTGCATTCGCTATATCCGCTCTCCCAGACCCTGCATTCACTATATCCGGTCTCCCCGGACCCTGCATTCACTATATCTAGTATCCCAAGACCCTGAATTCACTATATCTGCTCCCCCTGAACCCTGCATTCACTATATCTGCTCTCAAAACCCATACCCTGCATTCACTATATCCGCGGTCCCGGAATCCTGCATTCACTATATCCACTCTCCCCTGACCCTGCATTCACTATATGTTTTTTTTCTCCCCGGACCCTGCATTCACTATATTCGCTGTTCTCTCGGACCCTGCATTCACTATATCTTCTCTACCCGACAACCCTGCATTCACTATATTCGCTCTCCCCGGACCCTGTATTCACTATATTCGCTGTTCCCGGACACTTCATTCACTATATTTTCTCTTCCCGGACCCTACATTCACTATATCCACTCTCCCAGGACTCTGCATTCACTATATCTTTTCTTCGCAGCCCCTGCATTCACTATATCCACTCTCCCAGGACCCTGCATTCACTTTATGTGGTCTCAAAGGACCCTGCATTCACTATATCCGCTTTCCCAGAACCCTGAGTTCACTATATCTGGTCTCCAGGACACTGCATTCACTTTATCTGCTCTCCCTGGACCCTGCATTCACTTTATCTGCTCTCCCTGGACCCTGCATTCACTATATCTGCTCTCCCCGGACCCGACATTCACTATATCTGCTCTCTCTGGACCTGGCATTCACTATATCTGCTCTCCCTGTACCCTGCATTCACTATATCCACTCTCCCCGATCACTGCATTCAATATATCAGCTCTATTTGGGCCCTGCATTCACTATATTCACTCTCCCTGGACCCTGCATTCACTATATTCACTCTCCCTGGACCCAGTATTCACTATATTCCCTCTTCCTGGACCCCGCATTCACTATATGGACCCTGCATTCACTATATCTGGTCTCCCCAGACCTTGCATTCACACTATATCTCATCTCCCCAGGACCCTGCATTCACATTATTTGGTCTCCCCGGACCCTGCATTCGCTATATCCGGTCTCCCCGGTCCCTGCATTCACTATATCCAGTCTCTTCGGACCGCACATTCACTATATCCGCTCTCCCCGGAACCTGCATTCACTATATCTGGCCTCCCTGGACCCTGCATTCACTATATCTGTCTCCCGGACCCTGCATTCACTATATCTGGTCTCTCAGGACCCTGCAATTGCTATATCCTTTCTCCCCCGTACCCTGCATTCTCAATATCTGGTCTCCCCGGATCCTGCATTTACTATATCTGCTCTCCTCAGACCCTGCATTCACTATATCCACTCTCACTGGACCCTACATTCACTATATGTGCACTCCACACACCCTGCATTCACTATATCTGCTCTCTCCGATCCTGCATTCACTATAATTGGTCTTCCGATCCCTGCATTAACTAACAATGTTCTCCCTGGACCCTGCATTCACTATATTCACTCTCCCTGACCCAGTATTCACAATATTCCCTCTTCCCAGACCCTGCATTCATTCTATGGACCCTGCATTCACTATATCTGGTCTCCCCAGACCTTGCATTCACTATATCTCATCTCCCTGGACCCTGCATTCACATTATCTGGTCTCTCCCCGGACCCGGCATTCGCTATATCCGCTCTCCCCAGAACCCTGCATTCGCTATATCTGGGCTCTCCCGGACCCCGCATTCACTATATCTGCTCTCCCAGGACCCTGCATTCACAATATCTGGTCTCCCCGGATCCTGCATTTACTATATCTGCTCTCCTCAGACCCTGCATTCACTATATCCACTCTCACTGGACCCTACATTCACTATATGTGCACTCCACACACCCTGCATTCACTAATCTGCTCTCTCCCCCTATCCTGCATTCACTATAACTGGTCTTCCCGGTCCCTGCATTAACTAACAATGGTCTTCCCGGACCCTGCATTCACTATTTCTGGTCTCCCCAGACCCTGCATTCACTATCATATTATGACGTGAAAAAAATGCTGCGCTACATGAAACAATTGCACAATTCCTATATCAAAAAGCAAAGTGAAAAAATAAATTAATAAAATAAAAAAATATTGAAAAAAGTATT